GGGCTGGTTTCGGGGGGGGGGGGGGGGGGGGGGAGTGGTGTTTCTGTATGTCCTCGAGGATTTAAAATATCATTGTTTACTGCAAACTGCTCTACCTTTTTAAAATCGGCTAACAGCTGAGGCTGGCGGATGAATTTTTTTACATTTGTTTTTTTGTTGGAATTTTTTTAAATCCTTTTGGCATATCTGTCAATGTCGTCATGGCTGCATACCTCTCAACGTTTTGTGTCTCATACCAGCTGATCGAAGAGCCACAGGATACTGGGTAGAATGATCCTTGCGTTTGGTATCGAGCAAGCCGCTAGTGAACTGTCATCAACTTCATGGAGTCTGTTCCTTTAGAAGATGGCTCTAAATGATTCTGGAATATGTGTAGAGTGGAGTTGATTGGTTGGTTGGTTTGTTCTTTAAGTGTGATGAAGGAGGTTGTCCCAGACATTGAGTGAAATGAGAGGGCTAGAGTCTAATCTACCGCTAACACTGCCACTAACATTTTGTCTTAGGCAGCAGGTGTAAGGTTTTGCTTTCCATGTTGTGATGAGACTTATAAAGCATATAGCACTTTTAAAAATCTTTATTTTGTAATATGTATGTCAAATGAGAATGAAACTTGAAAGAATGTGTCGTTTTTGAAACATTTCTTCATTCTTTACCCCATCCATTCTTCTGGAACATAAACCTCTTGCCTTATAAAAAAAAAGAAGAAAAAAAAAAAGTCCAACTTACGATTTCCAATACATGCCCACATTATCTTACTAAACATAACACTAAAAACTCTGCCTCTTCGGGTTTCCTTTGAGGAGCAAATTTTTGCAATGGATAATTGCACTTGTGACTTGTGTGGGGGGGGTAGTGGATGTGTACAGTGTTTGTTTTCAGTGCATAATGGTTCCAGTGCTCTGTTTTGGTTTTGCTTTTTTCTTTCAACAGATCAGACCATCAGCACACCTGCACATATATACCTGCTGTAACTTTCATTCCAAACCATTGGCAAAGGGTGTGTTGCTATATTGGTAAAAATGTGAGCTGTTATGAAAAAAAAAAAAAGATACTTAGTCAATACACCTGAAATTCGTTTTCCTTCTTTAGTGCTGTGTCATGTGTGAATTACCCAAGAATTTGACGTTGTCAGAGGAGATGCTGAGATCACAGCCTAGGAAGTAAATATTGCATTAAGTGGATGAGTTGAAAAATACCTGCCTGGTTTTAGTCCTGATGCAATGCATTATGTGGTCAGAGAATAGTTTTGTCTGTGCTTTTGAATTTGGGACTGGCTTTTGAATCAGTCACCCTCAATGAAAAGAGAGGGTCAGCTTTAAAATGTTTGCAGGGCTTTAGACAGAGTTGCCCAAAGCCTGAGGTGTCTTCTGTTAATTTGCCTGACCAATCTACTTCACTGAACCACTGTCCAGCTTCAAGCTCTCATTTAACCAAAGGTTCAGTGTGACTGGAGCAGAAACTAAGCCCCACAAAAAGTCAGCAGACAAGGCCTCTGTGTTTGAAGGCTGACTTCCTCTACCTGAGCCCTACCTAAATCTCTGTAAAGTCAATCTTCTGGTTGGTCTTAGCAGGAGCTGCCTAGACTTCTCAGTTAGGTAAAAGCTTCTGTTTACATGTCGAGATACTGAACTAAATCCCCAGCTCCAGTTCAGGTTTTACTTTGTCTTTTTCAAGTACAACTTTAATTGAGCAAGTTCTTTTCGTAACAAAAGCAGTTGCTTTAAGACTTCCCAAAGAAGAATAGTAAGAGATCGGTGATATTTTTTCTTAAAATGTAATATTAATTTATTTCTAAATTAGTCTTTTACATGAAGGCAGAGAAGGGACTATGGTAAGAGAGCACACACCAGTGGTTTCTAAGAGCTTTTAGAGGAAAAGCTTGTGTGTGCACGCATGCCTTGGTGTGATCTCATATTTGAAGCTTACTGGCTGTGATCTTTGGGAACAACATGGTACCTTGTTCTTGAGATGTTTTAAAATATCCAGATGTCTAGGCAGTCCTAGTAAAGCTGCACTGGCATGGGTTTGTGTACTGTGCTAGACGTCAGGATGTCTCACGCTTACATGATACAAGCAGACAAACCCTGCATACCCTGCTAGTATTGGGGCAGCAGTCTTCAGGACCATACACACGTGGAGTTGTTGCCTATGCCTCCCGTAATTTAAAGTGCAATTACTTGGGCCTTTTCCTGAACTCTGCTGTGGTTGATCCTCTTCTAATATGAGAACCCAGATAATACACTGTCTTGTTTTGTTTTCTGCTTTGTTCTGTGAAAAGATTTACCAGATAAAACTCAGGTGGGTTAAATATCAGGTCCTGAACACCTTCATCATTTTCTTCTGAAATGCCCAAGTGCACAAGGCTTACACATCTGCAAGATGCTCGTGTTACAGCTGCAAGATGCACAGAGTCAGCTGCCAAGTGATCCTGCGTGCATTCTCATCCGATCTGTGGCCAGGAGATGAAATGAAAACGGACAAGTTCTGGTATGAGGCCTGCTCATTCTCCAGCTCACACTTGAGAGGCACTGGTGTCTGACCAGTGTTCTGACAAGTGCCGATACAGTCCTGTATGTGCTGGTCCTGTTTCAATCACTGTCTGATGTGATTCCTGGTGAAACATTGTGAATTCTCATTTGGTGTTTTGGAAGCTCCATGTGGCACATGCTAGTTAGTGCTCGGTGTATTCAAGATACTGAAAGGTTTTCCTGTACCCCTGCGTATCTTAACTTGGGAAGAAAAATAATCTCCAGCAAAATTATCTGGGGAAAAATATGTATGGATGAAACTGTTTTAGCCAGTGTTGCTGCTAACCTTTCCCTCTCCCAGCAGGTCTTTTCTGAATGCAAGTTAAGACCTAATATTTAAAGTCTTTGTACGGCTTAGGAATGCTCGTACTAGGAAGGGCTGCAGAAGAGATCCATCCGTCAGGGGTTTTCATTTATGCTGGTCACACATCTCATGCCGGTTCTTGCTTGATGTTAACAATGAGCTTCTGGAGCTGCAGTTCTCTGCTTCTGCATGGTGCCATCAAATTATGTGAGAAGGCTGAACGGTGCTTTTTCCTTCTTCTCAAGGCGATTCTGTTGACTTGTTTTCAGCTTCCAGCTGTGAGGCACTGATGCTAACTCAGGTGAGCTCCATCCTTCCTGTCATTAAGGGGAACAACCACCCTCTGTCAGGTCAGGCTTTCCAGCACTTCCTTCTGGCAGCTTTTGAAATGACTGAACTAGAAGTCAGCATTATTTTTAGTCCTTGTTCCTTGGCCAAAGTTAGTTTGGATTACTTGGGACTTTTCTGGGACCAGTATTGAAGTAGGAGGGAACATAGGCTTAATACCATCTACCACAACCTCTTCCCTAGATTGCCAGAGCCTTTGCTGATAATGCCCCATGCTTTAGACATCTGACCAAACTCACATTCTGTTGACTTGAATTCTGTCCAAAAAACCACCAGCTGTGCCAAGGAAATTTCCTTGCCACGTCGTATTTGGCATATCTGCCAGGTCATGAACATGCTTTGTGTTAGAAATACAGGCGTGTGCTGCAGAAGGTTGATCCCCTTTAAGAGATCACAAGAGGTTAAATTCCTATGAATTCTCAGGACTTTCTTCAACTGTAGCCCTGTATTTTGGGAGCAGGGGTGGTGTTTAAAATGTTGCTCTGAGTTCTGAAGAGATGGCCAGATCTGGGGACAGCTTCTTGTGGTTGAATGTCACCGAGATTGGCTTTGCTTCAGTAGGAGAGAGGGATTCAGCAAAGGTTACACTGAGCCTGCAAGGGGTTAGAGAAGTCCTGGGCCTCCGTGCTGTGTCTGGGAAATCCTGGGAAGCGATAGTAACTTCCTGTCCAAGCCCCGCTGTGCCAATCCCTGGTACTGATCAGGGCACCCATCCCACTTGTGGCGGTCCTGCAAGGAAGGGGAGTGCTTGACCTGCCACTCGCATGGGTATGGCCATGCATGGGAGCTGATAGCTTCTGCCCTGTGTTGGGTGGGGTAAGTATGGGTGACACAGTGGAGCCCGGGTCCAAATTTCTGCTAGACCCGAGGTATGTTAAGATACACATGTCTGGTGTAGTCTGCTGTGGAGTCTGTGGCCATCGATGAAAAGGAGGTTGGTGATTCTGGGTTGGATTAATCTTAAATATAGGTGAAACAGGGCAATTACAAAAGCAAGGATATTGCTGGCTGGATTTTCACAGCATTACATTAGATATGCAAAGAAAATGTCTAAGTGGGACCTTTTGTGATTATTTTTGAGTCTTGAGATATTGCAGTGTCTGTATATTCCATGAAATACTGAAAGCACTTGTCTTTGTATAGAAGATAACTGTTTAAACAATTGCAGCTGATCTTGTATTTAGGTAAAAATTGTAGATAGGTGATTGTATAACGTTAAACAACTTTACACTGGCATGTGTTGTATAGTTTATACAAGACACTTCACACTTCTGCAGAATTTTTTAGTTAGTGAATTTCTAGTAACTTAAATGTATAGTTTTGTACCCTTTCATGTATGTTCATTTTCTCAGTATTGCCACTTGCAGAATTATTTTTAGTTTCTTAAACTGTAATTGGTTATTTGTGTGTGATACACAGGGTTATTGACTGCAGCAATAAAGTGTTTCTATAAAAAAACCCAGAACAAAACCAAACCATTATAGTATCCATTTTGTTTGAAAAAAAGCATTAGAGGCCAATGCAAGAGAAAAATCGAGCCTTCCAACAGTAAGATGATCAAAGTGAGTTACTTTCACTGGAGTAAACATGGAACTTGATGGGACTTCAGTGCAGCAGGCCAGTGCAGAGTAGCATCCTATGACAATTTGATGTTGAAATGATTCATAATGATAAAGGGATAGTTAACCACCAGAATAAGTGCATGACTCCTTCGATGCAGCGAGAGGATATGACTTTGCAGGTGCTTTGGGCTCAGATCAGGAATCATGGGGAGA